TCAGTGTATTTAATTTGCGGTAGCACACACATATAATGTTTATATTAAAAAATAATTAGAGTAGCTGAAGAGTCCCAATGTAGTTACTACCAAATGAAGTAAAACATAGGGTCTAACTTCATATGCATTCCTGATTTTGAGAGAAGACTGAACTTTATTGTCTTAGATTACAGACTGGACTCATCTAAGTAATATGAGAAAGTAGGAATGATGAACCATTTTATGAATCGCCAAATTATCAAAGATACACAAAATCTTAAGTTTAAAAAAATTTTTCAAAAGAGGGATGAGGAAGTGGCTCAAGTGGTAAAGCACTTGCCTAAGAAGTATGAGGTCACGGGTTTAATCCCAGAACCAGGGAAATGAAAGAAGAATTATAACCCACTAAACTACAGATTAACAAAGCTACTGAAACTTTTGTTAGAAATTACAACATTCTCATTCAGAGCAGTGACTAACAAGAAGACTGGTGTGGAACAGAAGAGAGGTGAGGAATGAGGACTGGCGTCTTTTCTCCCCTTTAAAAGCAGAGCCAAATCAGGCTCACACCTGTAATCCTAGCTACTCAGGAGGCTGAGGATCTGAGGATCATGGTTCAAAGCCAGCCCAAGCATGAAAAGCCATTGAGACTCCACTTAACTACCAAAAAGCCAGAAGTGGTAGAGCTCTAGCATTGGGAAAGAAAAAAAAAAAGCCAGATGAGAATGTAATGCCCTGAGTGTGAACCCCATTACAGGCATAAACAATACCACCAACAAAAACAAGCCAACAGAAAAATAAATAAATAAATAAAGCCAAGAGCCAAAATTTGACACACTACTGATCAAAGCTAGGGCACACCCTGCAGAAACTCAAGCCAGAGGCAGTGGCCCCTTCCATCTCAAGCCTTGTCTCTGTGGGGTTGAGAATCCTGCTATCTCCTCATTTCCAATCTCATCACGATCCACATACCAGTAATAGCATCGTAGAGGTGAAGCCGGACATTGAAGACGACAGGCACCTCTTACATCCACCAGCCACAAATGTATTAATGCATGCAGAACTGGACTCCCCTGTCCCAGACAGCTGGCCCTGTTCCAGGACTCTATCTCAGTAGTGGCTCTACCATTCAGTCACTTATGCAAACCAGAAACAGGAAGGCAGCATGGGTACTGTCCTCAGTCCTGGGCATCCAATCTACCACCAAAGCTGTTCAATTGGACCTCCACTGCCCAGGCCATCACCGTGGTTCATCGCTACTCAGAGGGCTACTGGCTGGGCTGTAGTCTTGCCACCTCCTGCTCCCGTGCATTCTCATGTTACAGAGAACAGGTTTGCAAAAGGAAAATCTGATTTGCTTTCTAGAAGGTCAAATTCTGAGTTAAGATAAAAATGCCTGAGTATGACTGGGCCTGACTTGATTTTCTCTACAGACATGCAGGTTTCTAAGCAGAACCCTGACTCCTCCCACTTCCTCCCAGGCAGAGCCCGTACACTTACTTGGAGTTGCTCTCTCCCAATACTTCCCTTCAAGTCTTAGTCTTGGCTTTAGTTGTTGGCAGTCTCTCCTGCCAACAGCTCCCACCCCCTCCAATCAACCTCCAGAGCCACAAGGCTGCATTTACTAGGCTAACGTGTGTGCCACAACCAGGCCGATCCATGATGCCAGGGCTCCTCCATGATGACTAACAGTGCTACTCCACCATGCCAGGGCTACTTCTGTGCCTGCCACTTGGGGACCCCCCCCCCACCTCTCACAGGTGCTCCCTTAAACGCTGGAACTATCGGGTGGGCTATAAATACTCATCATGCTTTACAGCCTGGTGATGGCAGATCAGTAACCCTAGCCAGCATTTCTCACCCCCAAGTGCCAAAATCTTAGCTACTTAATTCACCATCTGCCCTTGGTGAAGGAGGGGTTGGGGTGGAAATGCATCCCCCGGGTCCTCCTCAACGAAGGAGGCGGGCCTAGAAACCTACCAGAGTAGCCAGTAAATGCTGTCCCTATTATAATATTCAGTGGAAGGGCACGTTTTCCCAAAGAGGTCAGGTTGTCTCAGAAGTGACATTGCTCAGTGGTAGCGCACTGGTCTAGTTTCCTGGGTCTGATCTCCAGGATCCCCCTTCCCCCCTTAACAGCTGAAGAAGAAGGCGTTCACATTTGGCAAAGGGTAGAGCACATACACAGTATTTTCCCAGTGGAAGATAAACCTCGCACATTAGAAACACCACTGGCAGACAAGAACCGGGAAGGCCCCGCGCTCCTTCCCCTGGGGCTGCTCAGAGACCTGGCTTGAAAGGCAACCAACACCTTTCACTTCCTGGCCGCCAGCGGCCTGCTCCTGTCTCGGCCCGGCCCCAATCCGGAGAAGCCAGCGGGGAAGGAGCGGAGGGCGGAGCTCCGGAGACACCGGCCCCCAGGTGGGTGGGTGGGGCCCCGCAGCGGGGCTCAGGGTCTCAGCTGCGCCCCGGCCCCGGCGCGGGCGTCCCGGAGAGGAGCTGGGAAGGCACCTGGCTGCCCTCCTCGAAGTCCACCAGCCCCACTGAATGGGGACCCAAAGCAGCCATGGGAAACCGAGACGACAGGCGCGCGGGCGCGGCCCGGCCCAGCCCCTTCCTGGCCCCACCTGGCCGGAGCACAGCCTTCCCTCTGCCGGAGCCTGGGCCAGGGCTCCAGCTGCTGCTAGTACCCCACGAGCCAGGACCTGCCCCCCTCCCAGCCCCCGGAACGAATAGATGCTAATCTGTTTCACAAGTGGTACTCTAGGGAAAGCACAGCACCTGAGTATTATTCTACGAAGAAGCCACCTACAGATTCGCCGAGGAAACTCAGTCACCAGGGAGGAGCTCAAAAGCCCTCTGGAATGGGCTGTACTTGTGATGGCCCCTTAATTCTGTGCAATGCCCCATCCCACCAAAGCCCCTAAAGAAACTGTTAGCTTGGGCTAAATGGGGATGAATGACGCTTTGCTTAAAGGACGCTTCTTCAGGCTCGTTGGGCGGATGTCACTTAACATTGATTGAGGCAGGAAAGCAAACCAACCCAAACTGCCCACACCAAATCAGCAAACTGGATCCTCGGTAACCGCCTTGGACAGCTGGGCTGTTCTCCACGGCGTGGTTCTGACAGGATTTGTGTTCTGTCCCCAACACTCAGGCTCCGCTTAGCTAAGAGGAGAATTCTCAAGGAAGTCTGAAACCTGTACCTTTGTAATAACTAGCTTGCAATACTATGCCTAAGATACCCTTTCAAAAAGTTATTTTGTCTCCCAAGGCATTGAAACACACCTGGCAATGGCTACCCTCCTTCCTCAACCCAACAACTGCCATTGCATGTCAGACGTTTGCAGAAAACAGCTCCTACGCCTTACCAACTTAAAAAAAAGACATTGAAAACCAACTGAAATTCAAACATAGCTGCCACAGTGAATAAGAGCCTTAAAAATGTACAGCAAATTCCTACACACAGTGCAACATGGCAAAACATGAATGAACCCTGAAGACCAAGTCTTCTAAAATTAAGTCCCCTCAGATTCACCCACATGAGGTCCGTGGAGTGGCCCATTCATAAGGCAGAGTTGGATAGCAGTTGCTATGGAGAAATGGGAAGTTAGTGTGGAGTCAATGTGGTGAGGGTTGTTTAAGGTCTAGTTAACAACACTGAACTGTACTCTCAAAATGGCTAACCTAAGTTATACTTTACTAGTATAACAAAAACAGAAAAAAAGGAATAAAAAAGATTACAGTTGATGAAGAAGAGAAAAGGAAAGGCTGTGATGGCAAATAGGCTCATGATTTCTTTTTTTCCTTCTGTGTTTTATCTTAACAGCGGAGCTCTGTAGTTTCTGGTGAATTCACAAGGGCACAAGGGAGACGAATTTCTTGGCTATCTTGTGCACAGCCTGCACTGAGTTTAGGGTAGTTTTATACCACGGGCATTGCTGGGCTTGGATGAACCTTTGAAATGAACAAGAAAAACTTTGTGTAGGACCAAAACAGTCGGCCTGGCCTTTCTGTGATGATATAACTTATTCCTCAAACTATACTGGCTCTCTCTTAACCTAGTGACCGAATAATTCCTTTAACCTAGCCTAAAACAAGACTTCGAATGAAGAACTCTCTTCAGAGCACACAAAATTTAACAGAAACCACCACAACACATAAGCACTGATCAAGAGCCAGCCTTGAAAAACTAGACATGCCTCATATATTTTTATTATATATATATATATATATATACATATTATGGAGTCCTGATATTTTCTCCTTTGCAATTCAAAATTCAATAATAATAGTAACAATAGCAACCTCTGGCTAGTGTCTAGACACCAGCTCACCAGCGTGGATGGCACACATACAACTTTCTAAGAAGTGCCACTTCCTAATCGTACCCCCCTCCCCCCCCCCCCCCCCCCCCCGCCCTCTTCCCCGGCCAGGACAGCAGTCTGGGCCCAGCGGGGCCGGGCACGGCCAGGGCCTCCTCATCACGCTCGCGGGCTGACCCATCAGCAATTCAGGTCTATTGCTAACCCTTTCATAGATAGCGATCCCGCTGCCACCAGCACATTCCCCGGCGATCAAGGCCGGGCCGCCCGGGCGGGGGGAGCCGAGGGGCAGCGCCCCGGCTGCGGGCCCCGGAGGGTGAGTCACCGCCCCCCTCTCCCCGGTGCCCTTCCGTCGCCCCGGGAAGGCGTGCGCTGCCGGGCACGCGAAGCGGCGCCGAGCTCGCTCCGCCGTCCCCCTGCGGTTTGCGCTTGTGGGAAAAGAAACTTTAAAGCTGCCCCGGCCGGCACGACAGCGACCACACACAGCACCCGGCGTGCGAGCGGCCGTCTGCTCCTTCACTGTGTCCACACAGGACCGGGGACCCCCAGTGGGGGGATGCTAATTAAAGGACCGCCGTCGCGTGTCCTCGGCTCCCGCCGACCCGGTCCGAGCTCCGCCGCGAGCCGCCCCGCACCTGGCGCCGGTGAGTCCCAGGCGGGGAAACCCGGCCCGGGCCCCGCGCCCGGATCACTTACTGGCTTCGGCATCTTCGGTTCCAGGTGGGACGCCTCGACGCCCCGGAAGCTCGGTTCTGCACAACAGCCGCCGCTCCGACGTAAGCCGAACCCAAAGCAGAGCGAAGCCCGGCGCGCGCCCCGCCGAGCGCCGCGCGCCGGCTTAAGAAGCAGCCGGGCGGCGCCGGGTGAGTCACCGCCCACCGGGTCGGCCGGGCGGGGCGGGGCGGGGCGGGGCGGGACGGGGCGGGGCGGCGGAGGCGCGCGGGGCCGGGCCGGGTCGGGGGTGCGCGGCGGTGCCGTCGGGTCTCAGCCGGCCTCCCCGTCCGGAACGCGCGGGACCCCGCCCCGGCCGCGCGCGCGCCAGCCGGTGCCGTCCGTGCGGCCCGGCCAGCGCGGCCGCCGTCCGAGCGTCCCCACGGAGGCCCCCGGCGGGGCCCCGGACCCATGTTCCCCCACTTCCGATCCCGCTCTCCCCGGCAGGGGGCTCTGCAGGTGTCGGGGCCGCACCGCACCCGGGGAAGTCACGGAAACGTAAATCAGCCTGGGCCCACGGGCGGACGTCCGGCTGTGGCCGGGACGTTTCGGGGTGTGGCTGCCGGGTCGCCCTTGGGCTGGGGCGGAGGGCCGGGCCCTGGAAGCCGTGCTGGACCGCGGTGGCCCCGCGCGCCCCGCCCGTCCCGGGAAAGCGCGGGCCGCGGCCTCGGGGACTCGACGAGCACGTGCCCCGTGGGGTGGGCCTCTGAAATTCTGGAAACGGAAGTCGTTGGCGTGGGGGCTTCTTCCTTTCCTTTTCGACCGGTGTCCGGGCGACCGGTAGACCTGGGTGGTGGGTGGGGCGCCGGCCGGGCGGGGCGCAGCTTCCGCCCCCCGGGGGCGCGCGGGAGCGGGGCGGGCGGGCGCGGCACTGCCCAGAGCCCGGACCCGCCCGCCGGGCGGGTGCGGTGACGGGCCTGGGCTGAGGCTGGGCCTCCGGTCCCCGGCAGGGAACTGGGAGCCTTCGTTCCTTTGGTCTTTGAGTTTCCTCGCCTGTAAAGCTGACTCGTTTTGCTGCTTGTAATCAGGATTAGCCGAGTAAAAAGCCTGTGACAGTACAAAAGCACTCTATCCCGGTACCGAGCGTGACCGGTGCTCTCGGGCACTGCCCCCAGTGTGTAGGATGGAGACACTGGTAGCATCTTCCGCATACATTAAATGGAGTTGTGCACGGGGAGTGCTGAGCTGAGCACGGTTCTGAGTGGACAGTGGTGCGCAACCTGCCACGGCTTCTTGGCCCCCCCCACACACACCTGCACCTGTAACCTCTCCCAGCTGCAGGCCCTGGCATTTTGTCCCGTCGTCACAGTGGGGTCTCTCTGAACGATGGCATCCTTTCCCTTCTCCCCAAGCATTTCTTCTCATTCTAATGCAGGTGTTTATCGTGTGGAGGGAGATAAACCCAACTTTATAACAAAGCACATATGAGCTGGGCGCGTCCGTAGCTGAGAGCTGGAGCCCGCCCGGAGAGAAGAGTTTGAGGGGCTCTTCTCTGCAATAAACTACTTAGAAAAACCACTGTACTCGGGAAAAGCCGGAAATGCTGCTGTGGCTCAAGCCAAGAGCCTGATAGCCTTGAGCACAAAGAGGCCCAGGGACAGCGCCCAGGCCCCGAGTTCAAGCCCCAGGACTAGCGAAAGGAAAGAGCACATAGTCAATGTTTTCACTCATAAGTAGAATCCAGACTTAAACTGACGATGAGGAGGAGAAGGAATAGTAATGAGACTTGGGCTAAAAGGGGGAATTATTTTTTGGGGGAAGGGAGTGGAGTGACGGTATTAAAGGGTATTATGAAGTTAGCTTAAGAAAACTAACCAAGTATTTAACAGGAAATGAGGAATGGGAGGAAGTGGTGTCAAAGGGAATTTAACAGAAAAGTGAACTTTAGTCAAAGTACCTTATATCCAACCATGGAATTATCACAGCAAACCCTGCCTTGCACCATTCACATATGCCAGTATAATTAGTATTATTAATTTTTCTATAGCAATTAAAAATAGGCTATGAAAGAGGAGGATCCCACACAGGCATCCCAAGGGACCACGCAGAGGCAGGCAGGCACAGGAGAAAGATTATTAGAAGGTCTATTAGAGGAGCCATATTTCCCCCAAGGAGGGAGGGGAGCACGTGGCCTTCATCCCCATCCAGGTAGCAGGAGGGTCTGAGGGGTAGGAAGTGAAGTAGGTAGATGGGAGTCCAGGTGGGTCTGGGTGGAGAGAGGGAGGGGCCAGCTGTATGGAGGGAACTCCAGGATGGGAGGGGGGGGCAGGTCTGGGTGGAGCTGAGGACCAAAGGTGAGCATAATACTAGCAGGCTACATCATCTGTGAATGATCATTCATTCTCCTTAGTCACAAATATTGGTGCTTGTTCTACCTTTTGTCAAGGATAACTGTCAGGATCTTCAAACTATCCAGACATATGAAGGGCTTAGTTGAATTTGAACCATGTTTGTAGAAAGCTTGAGTATTTGCCTTCCTGTAATCCCTGCTGTGTAGTCAGCTTCGTGTTCCCAACACCTGGTTAAAATTACAAAACAAAAGGTATTCATTGTTGACTCATGTAGAAACCCCATGGAATAAAGGGTCATTTGTATCAACAAACTCTTTTCTTTTCACCATGCTCTTGCAAGTGGTGAGTGGCTAAGAAAGGTTCCTAGTTCTCAGGAATTGGTGGCTCATGCAGGTAATCAATCCTAGCTACTCAGGAGTCTCAGATCTGGGGACCAGGGTTTAAACAGCTCAGACAGAAAGTCTGTGAGAGTCTTATCTCCAATTATCTAGGGGGAAAAAAGCCAGAAATAGAGATTTTGTTCCAGTGGTAGTGTCAGGCTTGATTGGAAAAGCTGAGGGATAGCCTTGGTCCTGAGTTCAAGCTCTAGTACCAGCACGTGCACACACACACACACACACACACACAAGCAAGTTCATAGTTGTGTTCTTTTTATTTTTTATTTGCCTTTATTATAAAGATGATGTACAGAGGGCATATGTAAGGTAATGAGTACATTTAATAGTTGTTTCTTATGTCTGAAGTACAATGTATTAACCTGCCCTGCCCCGCCCCCATGTAGGTATTTATTTAAGTGCAATAGGAAGGAACTATGGAAGATATTTAAGTCTTCTGCAAGGAAAACATTTCAGATTGGATTTATTCCTCCTGACACACCCACTCCACTATTTTATCTCCAGTTGGAGCCACTGTTGGCTTCCAACTCTGTTGATAGAGCACATCTCCAATCTATTTTCTTTTTTTTTTTTTGCCAGTCTTGGGCCTTGAACTCTGGGCTTGAGCACTGCCCCTGAGCTTTTGTGCTCAAGGCTAGTGCTCTACCACTTGTGCTACAGCTCTACTTTTAGCTTGTGTGTGTGTGTTTGTAGTTAATTTGGAGATAAGAGTCTTATAGATTTCCTGACTAGTCTGGTTTCAAAGCACAATCCTCAGATCTTAGCCTCCTGAGTAGCTAGGATTATAGGCATGAGCCAGTAGCACCTGCCTGTGATATATGTTTTAAAATCCTGCTCAGGGGCTGGGAAGGTGGCTCAGTGGTAGAGCGCTTGGCCTTTCATGCGTGAGGCCCTGGGTGTTCCATTCCTTAGCACCACATAAGCAGAAAAAGCTGAAAGTGGTGCTGTTGGCTCAAGTGGTAGAGTGCTACCCTTGAGCTGAAAAGCTGAGGGACAGCGGCCCAGGCCCACAGTTCAGGCCCCACAACCAACAACAACAACAAAAAAATCCTGCCCAGTATATTCTCTTTTCATATGCTGTTCCAAGTAGCAATGGCCCTAGACTTTAGAGAATTTTTGAACTTTACCCTGTAGAAGAATTCTAAAAAATGACCCATGGCCATTTTACCCTATGTAGTTAAAATTAAAAGATGGCACCGTTTAGAGGCAAACTGGACAAAGGCTGCATTCTGGTGCTAGCATTTTCTAGTGGATCACTTAGAGCAAGCATATGACCTTTGTCTCCTGTGCTTCATCTACACAGAGGAGATAACCATACATATTTCACTGTATTCACTGTCATGTAAAACACATGCGCGCGCGTGTGCACACACACACACACACATACACACACACACACACACACATGTTTGGTCTTGGGAGGCCTGAACTCAGGGCTTGGGCACTGTCCCTGAGCTCTTCAGCTCAAGGCTAGCATGCTACCACTTGAGCCACAGCACCACTTCCGGCTTTTTCTGCTTATGTGGTGCTGAGGAATGGAACCCAGGGCCGGCCTCATGCATGAAAGGCAAGCGCTCTACCACTGAGCCACCTTCCCAGCCCCACACATATATATTCTTTCATAATTTCCATAAGCATTACATGTTATAATTACATGTTACTAAGCAGGGCACATATCTGTCCCTGCAAAAATGTAGTTCTTCAAGGATCACTTATTTTTACCTGCCGTAGATAGAAGTTAAATCCCTCTGCCTAGCACCAGAAAAGGTCTAAATTTCAAGGAAGTCTATAAGATTTTAAGACGCTCTGTGAGGCTTAAGCTCTCATAGAGCCACCCCCTCCCCCCGACATTATGGCTCAAGGAGTCCTAGGTAATAGCACCTGGAATCTGTGTCCTTAAGAACTGCAGATGTGATCATTTGGTAAATGCCCAGAAGTGGGATTGCTGGGTCATAAGGGAGCTCTATGTGTAGACATGATCACAAGAGGTTTTACTTTGTTGTTTTTAATGTTCTATGTGATTTTTTTTCTTTTGTATGTTCTTCCCCCTATGGGTATATCCCTGTTACCACTGTATATGATTTTGGTATCCTGGGTATTGTATATATATTTATTTGAATTAGGGAAAGGCAGGGGAACAACAAGATGGTGAGAGAAAGGACACGGGGGAACAATGCAACAGTGACATACACAACACAGTATGTTGGAAATGATCTGTACAACTTGGGGGGGGGGAGTTGGGGGAAGGGAAAGTAGGGGGAAAATGAGGGAAGGGGTAACAAGGTTGGTGACAAGAAATGTGCTTATTACCTTACTTGTGTAACTGTAACCCCTCTATGCATCACTTTGACAATAAAAAGAGGCAAAAAAAAAAAAAAAAGAACCACAGATGTACACCTGCTTTTCAGAACTTACGACTCT